TAGCAAGTTCACTCTTTGTGTTTTGGGAGTGCTAGAGCAGCTCCTCCCAATCCTTGGCTTGTGTGTGTATTTTTCTCATCATCTCGAAATATTTTCCAGTGTGAAAACAAAACAAAGTAAGACATCAGTCTGTGTCATGTTATTTTAACCCTTTCATGTAAGAGTAGAAAAACCCATAAACCTGCATATAAACTTCAGACTGACCCATCCTTTGAAGGCAAAACTCTGGAAGTATTGTAGCAAGCTTAATTGCTTCCATTCAGATTGCCAGGAAATTGATTTGGAAAAAAGAAAGAAATTTTTTGAGGCATTCCCAAATAGTTAGCAGCATGGAATGAATAAGAACAAAACGAAGGTACCACCAATCTTGGCTGGCAGTAGAATCGCCACCATAAACTTCGGGAGGCATAGCTCCTCTGGACTCTCCACTGCTCAATGACTTCTGAAGGTACCCGATGACCACAGAGTAAAGGCCAATCCATTTGTTGGTGTCCAGGATTTTCCACCGTGAGTCCCTGTCCAGCTCCTATCCTCACTGTTTCCCCTCTTCCTTGGGCATCCTGTGCTGCTGCCTCAGGGCACTAACGCTGTGTCCCTGCCATACTTGGAATCTTCTAGGCCTTTGCTCTTGCTCTTGCCTCTACCCAATTGCCTTTACTTCTATCTTTGTTTCTGAAGCCCAGCTTAAATTCCAGTTCCTCCTCCACAGAAGCTTTCAGATCTCCCCTTCATCCTTAGGGGTATGATAGCTCCGTTCTCCATATTCCTGGGTCAGTTTCTTTGTCTTCCATTGTGGTCTTATTTCATTAAAGATGAGTTGTGACCAGGTATGGTGGTGCACACCTGTAATCCCCCCAGCTGCTCCAGAAGCTGAAGTGGAAGGGTTACAAATTCAAAACCAACCTGGGCAACATAGCAAGACCACGTCTCAAAAATACATATGTGTGCATATGCATACATATATTAGTTGTATATCTGCTTAAGTATATTGTAAGGTATAAAAACAAGGTCCAGCTGGGCACAGTGGCTCACACCTGTAATTCCGATACTTAGTAGCCTGAGACAGGAGGATCCCAAGTTTGAGGCCAGCCTGGGCAACTTAACAAGACTCTGTCTCAAAATTTTAAAAAATTATAAAAAAGACTGGGAATGTAGCTCAGAGGTAGAGCACCTCTGGGTTCAATCCCTAGTACCATTTTTTAAAAAAAGAAAGAAAAGATACCACTTTCAAAAAATACTAAAAACAACATTCCTGGCTTATGTGTTTTTTAAGGTTTTGCCATACAGAGATCAGTAATTCAAATTACTGTATTTAATTGACATCTTATGACATCTTAAAACATTGTAAAGATAGACATTGTTACACAATCCTCAAATGCTTATGCTCTTTGCTCAAAGGGCATTTACTGGATACTGAGATTCCTAAGGCTGTCACAGCACCAAGCATCTGGACCCATGGGGCTTCTTTCAGATGCTTCCAAACTTCCAGCTGTTTGGCATCGCCAAGCACTTTAACCAGGTGAACTAGGGAAGTGTTGGCGTTTTCATAGAATCATAAGATGTTTTGAGCCAGACAGGACCTTGGGGAGCTAAACTCCTTGCAGAACAGAGGAGAGAATTTTGAACCTGAACTCCTAAGTGACTTTTGCCAGGTTTTGGTTGGAGCCCCAGCCTACCAGATCTCTATGATGTCCCACCTCTGGTGAGCCTTCCTAGTGGTGGCTTCAGGTGCCACTTCAGTTATCAGCTCCACTCTTGCTTTCCGCCTGTCATCACACGACAGGCTGTTAACCAACTCTTTGCTAAAGACTGATATCATTGGGTTAAAAATGAAAACCAAAGGGGACCAAGATTTAAGCTCAGGGGAACTGGGAGCAAAGCTAATAATTCCTTAGCCGTTGCCTCGCTGAGGACTCAGCAGCTGCTGAATTCAGTCAAGTTCAGACCCTTAAAAAGAGTGGAAAAAAGAAAGCACATAGTTTCCAGTGCCTGGGCACGGCATAGCGGGGCCAGCTGGGCGCAGTGCCTTGGCAAAAAGATTCTTCTGTTTCAGAAATCCGAGCCCCCGACCTTGCAAACAGGGAGGGGCGCATGGCTGCCCTGTGCCTGGTAGGGTGACTCCTGCCCAGTTACACCAGACACTGTTCCTATGCGAAGTCCATGAGGATCTCCAGCAAGAGTCGGTCTCCCTGTTGACACAAGAGCTTGCTATCTCAGGAGAGATGTGTGAACGTGGCTGGGACGCCATGTGTCTGAGGTTGACAGTCTTTTTCAGAGGAATTCTTGGTTTCTATATAAAAGTGTGCTTTCTCCTGCCCAGAGTCAGCCTGTTAAGGGAATAAAGTGCAATTCAGGTTTCCGAGTTGGAAGCCTGATTAATCTCTCTGCCAGCTACATATGGAAATAAATTAGTAAGTGGTCCATCTGGGATTAAACTACTGCAGAGAAGATAAATTATTGCCATTGTATACATCCGTGTTGTTGAAGACTGAGTTGTGTTCACCAGGAGCTGCTGAATGGTAACTGGATGGAGGTTCTATTGTGGTCACTGGATTAAAAAAAAAAAAAAAATGTTTTTTTCAATGTTGGGGATCAAATCTATGTATGGCCTTGTACATGCTATGTGTACCACTACTACTGAGATGCATCCCTCGCCCAGGAATAAAATTTAAAGAAAAAAAAATGACAAGCAAAAATTCACCTTAAAATGTTTCTTGGGAAAATGGATTGGTCGATGCCAATTTTGTTCCTCAGAATTGTTATGTCTGCAAACATTTTAAAGGAGAGTCCCAAGGGCATAAGGAACATTTTAGTTTTATATTTTCAAAGGCCAATACAATAACAAGTGTTAATTAGTACCCAGTGTTTCATTGAGGAGGGCAATTCTATATGACTGTGTAGGAGTGCATGTTATAATTTGCATAGAAACGTTATATCTATTTTCTTATTTAAATTAAAGAGGGCAGGGCAGGTCAATGCCTTTCTTTCTCAATAGATGAAAAACTAAGGTTTAGGGGTTTAGTGCCTTGCCTATAATGTCTCAGCTGGTGAAACAGCAGAGCTGGGATAAGCAAGCAGATATTGCCACTTCTGCACCAGCTTCGTTTCAAAGGCTTGGTGTGACATGTAAAACATTATCAGAGTCCCATCCATCATCTTACCAACATCAGGAAATAAGGCATCTATGTATATTAATTGTCTAGAAGCAAAAGCCCTAACTTCTTGATCATGAAAAGCATCTTTTCTCCAACTGAAGATGTCCCTTGTTAGTTCAACTTTTGGAGGAGACTCAGGCCCACCGCTATCAACTGAAGTTATTTTATAAACTTAAAACTGAGATGGCCTCAGGGGTTTTTTATGTGTGGTAACATTTTGCCCCTTTGCAGAATAGCCTAGGGCTACTGTGACATCCGCATTCTTGTGCCTACTTCAAACTTTTCTTTTGTGTTCTTCCTCCTGGTCAGTCCTTCAGCCCTGTGGATCCTTGAAGCAGTTGAGAATCTCCATTCTGGAAAACACAGTGTGAAAGTGCACTGGATATAGAAATCCTTAAGTCACCTAGTATACCAGACAGGAGTTTTTCCAAAGATAAGCATCAGTGCAGGCTGGTGATCTTACACAAGAAAGAAGCTACAGGTCCAGCTTTGACGCCCCTGTGTTTGGAAGTAAACTCATCTCTCTCAGATCACCTTCAGATTTCTCAAGTATCAGCCAGACCTGGTTACTCCACATCCCAGGGACTCTCATGCTTCAGCTGTTGCCTGTTCCTGCCTGTCCCTATCTGTCCCAGTTTTAAGACCCATTATTACTGTCATAGTCTTCATGACATTTTCCCTTTTACCATAAACTCCCACCCCAACCAGAGACAAATGTGCCTCTGAAACCCTCTAACCAGTAGACAAAACCATGTTGTGATACTTGAACGTCTTGGAGGGACTTCATCTCCTTCGTCTCTGACTCTTCCTCCTTCCCAGTTCCTTGCTCAATATTTCATTTTTAATTGGCACATAAACATGAAATAGAATAGGGTAATTTTACTTTTCAACAACAGGTTAATACATTTGAAGGAGTGGATCACTGAATGTCCTGAGGCATATTGGAATCACGTGCAAAAAAAAAAAAAAAAAACAGATTTCTGGGCTTCATGACCAGATTTTCTCATTCGGTGAAACCTGGGTTGAGGCTTAAAATTTGCAGGTCCAGCAAGCTCTTGAGTGATGTCAATGCTGCTTCTTCAGGGATCATAGTTTGAGAATCACTGATCCAATGAATATGTTATTCCTAACATTCTCTTACTCATGATCATAGGATAATACCATTCTTTTCATTGGAGAGTTTATTGATTTATCATCCTTGAAGCCTGGACCAAAAAAAAAAAAAAAAAAAAACCCAAAACCTTCCATCAGAAATTATTACACGATCTTTCTCTTGTACCAATTTTCTTATTTTGCAATGTATCAGTTAACTGTGGCTCAATCACTGCCGCCCATTCACTGAGCTCATCTCCGGGATGATAGCCAGAGTAATTGCATTTTACAACAGAGTTGAGGGTCATTGACTTTGTACCTGTGTCCATGGTTTACCAAATAGACAGAGGCTGGTCCATGGGGTGGAGCATTGGTCTCGAATGCTTGTTGGTGCGTCGATGTCTTCCTCTGGATGGACGTGTGTTTCAGAAGCAGCTGTAGTGAAGGAAAATGATCTCACGGATGTCTCACTGGCAGTCCTACCGAAATCAAATGATCTTACGATGTCTATGGCATGTATTTTCAAATTTCTGGGTCCTCTTATGCCCTATGAGGCAGTTTCAAAAACACTCCATCCTGAAAGCTTCGGTGTTTCAATAACTATCCAAGAAATAAAGAGGTTCTGTGGCAATTGACTTTTTCACTGAAGTGTGTCATTTTCCAGGGTCGGGCCACAGAGGACATCCATTGTGGTTGTGAGGGCTCTCTGCTCCTCTCCTCTAATTCTGTCTTCCTTTTCTTCCTCTCCACCAGCCTCTAGAAGCATCCTGTCATGATGATGGAGGCCCCTTCGTCCTTTCTGTGACGGGAGCTGGAGCGATGCTGACCTCGGTTTTCTGGACCCATTTGGACTCAGGTAATCACACTCTGCTTCCCTTCCCCATTTCTGCACCTTACATGGGTTTACATCGAACAAACGAAACTCCAAAGCTATATCTAAATGCAAATGCAAAATTGATTGTTTCTCCATTCATTGGTATCTTCCCCTCCTCCCCTCAATCTTCTTAATGATCAGTTCATGCAGCTGATCAGACTGACAATGTGGTCAATCCAATTTAGGCATTAAGATGATTGAAAACATTGAATCACATCTTTACTTAAAATTCTGGTGTGTTTGTAGATGCACAAAGCAACCGAAACATCACTGGGAATTTTCATGTAGAAACTACTGTAGTGCCTCTAAATTATCTCCTTTCCCAGAATACTATGTTTAATTGTAGCAATCTTTCTAATGGTTTGTACCTTTTAGTTGCATTCAATAAGTATTATTGAATATCTGTTGTGTGTTCTTGGGACAGATGAGGATTAAAAAAAAAAATAAAAGTACAGAGCTTGGGATATAGCTCAGTTGGTAGAGTGATTGCCTCACGTGCACAAGGCCCTGGGTTCAATCCCCAGCACACACACACACACACAAAAAAGCACAAGGCTGGTTCCTATCCTCAAGCAGCTCACAGTCTTACAGAAAACTCTCAACTTGATCATGAGAAAATGGCACCTGGTGGGGCTTAGCTTAGGGCAGCGCTGTGCACTAACTATCACCCACTGCTCCAGGGAATTGAGAGATTTCCAGGATTGGGGTTGAAATAATTAGGGAAGAAGTCAAGGAACAGGGAGGACCTCAGTAGCTTTGTGGCTATGCATTTGGCCAGGCAGCTGGAAGAGGATGACATGGCACTTTGATGGGAGGACACCCTGTGGGCCTTGGTGGTGTCCCTGATCCTCTGCCTCAGCCAGAGCCAGACTCCCCTTTCAGGTTTGTGTCCCATAAGGATCCTGGAGTAGAGCCATTGGGGAGACCTACCTGGAGGGGCCTTGGCTGACAGTGTCTTTCGAGAGACAGTGGCCACTATGGCGTAGCTCTGGCTTGGCTTCTGCCTTGCTGGTCTTCTCTGCTCCTCTGAACCTGCCTACACCCTGCCTCTATTATTTGCTCTTCTCATACACACCTGACTCCCTTCCTCCGGGTGCTGTGTGGCATGCCTGGCTTGGCAGGTCCCCAGGATGAACCACAGGCTGAGTGAGATCAGCACCTGGCACTCACCTGTGTGATTCTGAGCAGGGAAGTGGAGTTGGAGAGTAGACAGCATAAGCCAAGAATATGAGTTTGTACCTTGGGATGCAGAGTGTCTCTTGAAAGCTCTGAAATCCCAAAGTCAAGGAGGGTATCAAGGCCAAAGCTGGAACACAGTTTTATATGGGGAACAAGATGCATTGGTTAAGTTGGGGATGGAGCAGTAAATCCTGCCCACAACTGGCTCTTTTCCAGTGTTGCTTTTTGTCCATCTAGGTAAGGCAGTAGTGGCTTCTGCTGCCCTGGGTTTTAAAGCTGCTACTGAGAGTGGTCAACCAACATTCCTTCTCTTCCTGTCACACTGTACTCTGACCACACTGCACCTTCCTGAGCATGCCCAAGAGCCCAAGCCCTCCCTGCCTGGGGAGTGTGGCCTCCTAGAACCACATCCCTGGTCAGCAGCCAGCAGGCAGTGGAAGAACTAGAATAACAACAGTATTTGTGCCCTCCTCCCCCTGAACTGATTGCCCCAGAGTCTTGCCACATCCCTTCTAAACCTGGGCCAGGGGTCAGTAAACTACATTCAGTCCCTGGGCCAAGGACAGCCCATGGCCTCTTGTTGCATGGCAGATAACCTAAGAAGGGTTTTTGCATTTCTAAATGGTTGGAAAAAAAATTAAAAAGAAAACTAAAATTTTGTACCTCATAAGAATTCTATGGAATTCAGATTTCAGCATCTAAACTTTTATTGGAACACAGCTATGATCATCATTTCTGAATAATCAATGGCCACTTTTGTATTACAATGACGGAATCACATAGTTACAACAGAAACCATAAACTATCAGGCCTTTTACATAGGAAGTTTGCTAACCCCTGACCTGAGTAATTGTGTGCCATAAGCATTTGCAAAATTAGAGGTTGGGGACTTGTCTCCCATTAAGAGAACAGAATTGAACTAGGTATAGGGGCACACGTCTATAATCCCAGAGAAGCTCACGTCTATAATCCTGTGAATCTCAGACCCAAGGATCAAAAGTTTGAGGCCAGCCTTGGCAACTCAAAGAGACCCTGACTTAAAATAAAAAACAAAAAGATCCTGGGGACATAGCTCAGTGGTTCAATCCCCAGTACCACAAAGAAAATAAGGGGGGAAAAATGAAAAAAGGATTGAAGAATGAAGGGGATTAAAATAGGAAAGAGAGAAAGGGAGGGACTTTTAGAGTGATATTGGATATTGATCACACTCCAGTTGCATTTTTCCACTTATCTCTTAAACTTTCAATTAAATTTAATCTATCATCGAGGTCACCTCATCTTAGGAACTCACATATGTCCGTCATATCTTTAAATGAGGCATCCAGGCTTCTTGGATTAACCTAGCAAGTGAGCCCCAAATGAAAACAGATCATATACATTAGGCATTTTACTTTTTTTTTTAGGCACTGGATGTGAGCTATTTCATTTTAAACCAAATAGATATTTGGTTTTAAATCAAGTAATCATTGAAGGTTTACCATAAACAAGCTATGACATTTGAACTTGGCAACATTTAACATTTTTTCCCACCCACTACAATTTTATGATTCTGCTGAATGAAAACTATGTTAAAAGTTGGAGAAATGAGTTCTAATCTTACTAACTGGCTGAGACAGGAAAGTTTCCAGGATCTTAGGATAGAAACTATCTCCCAAATCTCAGGGGTTTAATACAACAAAATAGAAGCATGTTTTATTTTCTCTAGAATTAAGGAAGTAATGAAGAACTACTTTTTGAATATCAGAACTGAATTCATATACGCAAGTTCAAATCTGGCCAGGTTGACCTCAGCTTGCTGGGGAAGATATTGTCTAGAAAATCACCGTAAGTACCCAAGAGTTCTGGGTGCTTAACCACTGAACCACATCCCCAGCCATTTTTATATTTTATTTTGAGTAAGAGCCTTGCTGAATTGCTGAGGCTTGCTTTGAACTTGTCATCCTCCTGCCTCAGCCTCCAAAGCTGCTGGGATTACAGGCATGAGCCACCATGCCTGGCTGAGAGTTCTGATTTTGATAAGACTTTCTCATTCGCCTTGCCTCAGACCTGGGAAATCTCAATGCTGTCTATCATCAGAGCATTTATGATACTACAAGCAGCTTAAAGCAAGTTTCTCAAACATTAATGATCAAACAAAATCACATGGGGAATATTGTTAAAATGCAGATTCTGATAGGAAGTCTGGATTGGTAATTGAGATTTTGCATTTCTGACAAGCTCCCAGGTGAGGCATCGGCCAGGTACTATGACATATACATTGCTGGTTCCAGACAACATGTAGCAAGGGCTTAAGCTTCAGTGGTTCTCAAATGTGGTAACTGGATCCGCAGCATCACCATGGAAACTATGGTACAAGTTAGGGATGTGAGTTCTAATTGCATTAACTGGCTGATCCAGGGAAGGCTATGGGATACAAGGTGAAAAGTACATCCCAAACCTCAGGGGATTAGCTCCACCAATGAGTGGGCCACTTTCCCACTCTTCTGAGTTGGGTTGTGTCACTGGTTCCCTTGCTCCAGCGTTTGAGGGCTGTAAGCCCCTTGCATCTTATGATAGCTATGTTTCTAGCTATGTTTCTGAACGTGACTTCCTGGCCGCTACAACACGTGAAAAAAAAAAAAAAAAAAAAAAAAAAGGAGTCAAGAATTTACACCCATTCTTAAATGCTTTGGACCAAAATGGACTCAAGGGCTCTTCTACACCACAGTTCATTGACCAAGGCTGACTTTTTCTTTCTGTCCATTCCCATCACTCCTTACCCTGGCATGTTCAAGGGCAGCTTGTTTTAAAACTGGGCACTGCATTTTACATGGAGAACAAATTTTAGTTGAAGCCTAGGATGGAGTAAAACCCTAGCCATTGAAGACCTGTCACGTGTTGAGCTGTTAATCCAGACAGATGCTGTCCCCACACTAACAAGCAGGAGAGATTGAGTTCAAGGGGTTTATTTACAACTCTTTATTTAAAAGAGAAAAGAAGGGGGCTGGGTTGTGGCTCAGTGGTAGAGTGCTTGCCTGGCATGTGTAAGGCTCTGGGTTCTATCCCCAGCACCACATAAAACTAAATAAACAAAATAAAGGTATTGTGTCCATCTACAACTAAAAATATTTTTGAGAGAGAGAGAGAAAGAAATGGAAAGAAAGAAAAATACCAACTACAACCAAAGAGCAAGGTGCCTGTAAAATAATACTAAACAAAAAAGCTATCTACTCGCAAGGCTATGTATTGTAATTTCCCTGGTTTCCAGCCCTTCTAATCAGTGTTCAAAACTGAACCCATGGAATCAAAGGGAACGGTGGCTGGAAAATGAGCCAAACATAGTCATCTATTGCATTGCTTGCTTCAGGAAACAACCACCCCCCCCCCCGAAAATTATACTTGTGGTTTCTAAATGTACAAAGAAAACGAAAGGAATTCCATTATGAAAGAAAGATTAGATGGAAATTTCTAATCCTGTCTCATAAACAATATAGGAATAACTTTAAAATATTCTGCTTTAAGCATGCATTTAATTTGTGCTCTGGGAACCAAATAATGTTGCCAAGATAAAACATTCTAATAATGATTTATGTAAATTTATTTGTACAAAGTAATGGTGTAGTTGCCTATAGCAAATTGCTTGGAATATGAAATGACATTTATGAGGTCTTTTTTTTTTCCCTCCTCTGAATGAATACAATGGAGTAAATGAGATACACAGGAAAAAAAAAAATGTTCAAAATGGAGTCTGATGCAGAGGTAGCCGGACAGGTTACAGAGTGTGAGCAGTCAACAGACCCAATTCAATATGGTTTCCTTTGAGG